ATCCACAAACCTTTCTTGAGATGGCCATAACAACCTACCAAATCATCGTAATCGGATAAGTGGTGTAGGAGCGCATACCCGGATACCCCGCGAACTTTGATTTTTATATGCACTTGTATATAGATTTAACCATTTTAGGCTATTCAATAGATGAATGTAGACTGCTTCAAAGAATACATGGTACATACACATTACTAACTTCCATCAAAGTATAATAGTCATCAGGTTTAGATGGCATATAGATTTTGAGCACACATCGTTTAGAAAGGCAATTATTATTTTATCGATTGTAACATTTATTTTGTTCGATTGTATATACTGCTTGTAAATTTTTGTCAAAATTTTTCAAGTTTCATATTGTTACAACCGAATCATTCTCTTCACTTTCATCACGATCTCCACTATCATTAGGTCAAAAACAGTTCAGTATTGTGGAAAAATGCCACTTATTTCTGAAAGTTCTACTTGTCAGTGGCAAAAAGTCTTCATGATCAGATTTGAGAAGGGCAGTACATAATGTAGAATATTCAGGAATCTCAATTGAACTCAAATCAATTGAGATTTCACTTTATGATAATTAAGCATTTACAATTATATTTGAATTATTCTGCTCTAACTTGCTAAGGTTTTTGTTTCGTCCATGTTAGAATGTTGGATGGAAATGGATGGTTGTAAAAGTCCGAAATCATCGGTGAAATTATGGCACTTTACGAAAACGTAACGCAACGTAAGGCCACTCAATGTACCATAAAGACAATAATTGAGAATATTAAGGCCAAAATCCCTCAAAGGCGAAGACAAAATTTAACTTCTTCAGGAAGACCCTTTTTCACGGAACCAGCAATCGTGAAAGAGAGAAGCACCACAGGGAATTAATTAGCTGTCCTAAAGGTAAAGAGTAGAGATGTGGCAAAGTATCGACAAATGTCAGAAAGACATTTCAATTAACCTGGTTGGTCCTGATTACAGGTTGTAGCTGGTATGGTCAAACCAGTCTTAAGGTTCAACAGTACGAAAACAAAGGTATAATTGTCCAAAAAGTATATGCTCTGGTAGAGGTAGCCTTACAACTGTGTAGGCTCCGATGGAGGTTGCCGTACACTTACACGTGTAGCCTTTAGTTAAAAAGGGCTGACCGTATACTTGAATTTTTGGCCGTAAGTAAAAACCCTGTTGGAATGGGTTTTATTTGCCTCGAAAATACTCTGGATTGGTCTGGATTTGAAATCATAGAGTGAGTGAGGTGGTCTTTACTCTATTCCTTAGGGCCGAAATCATCGGTGAAATTATGGCACTTTACGAAAATGTAACGCAACGTAAGGCAACTCAATGTACCATAAATTCAATAACTGAAAATATTAAGGTCAAAATCCCTCAAAGGAAAAGACAAAATTTAACTTCTTCAGAGAGACCCTTTTTCTCGGAGCCACCAAACGTGAAACAAAAAAGCACCACAGGGAATTAATTAGCTGTCCTTGAGGTAAAGAGTAGAGATGAGGCAAAGTATCGACAAATGTCAGAAAGAAATTTCAATTAACCTGGTTGGTCCTGATTACAGGTTGTAGCTGGTATGGTCAAACCAGTCTCAAGGTTCAACAGTACGAAAACAAAGGTATAATTATCTAAAAAGGTATATGCTCTGGTAGAGGTAGCCTTACAACTGTGTAGGCTCCGATAGAGGTTGCCGTACACTTACACGTGTAGCCTTTAGTTGAAAAGGGCTGACCGTATACCTAAATTTCTGGCCGTAAGTAAAAACCCTGTTGGAATGGGTTTTATTTGCCTCGAAAATACTCTGGATTTGTCTGGATTGAGGTCTGGATTCGAAATCATGGAGTGAGTGAGGTGGTCTTTACTCTACTCCTTAGGCCCAAAATCATCGGTGAAATTATGGCACTTTACGAAAATGTAACGCAACGTAAGGCAACTCAATGTATCATAAATTCAATATTTGAGAATATTAAGGTCAAAATCCCTCAGAGGCGATGACAAAATTCAACTCCTTCAGAAAGACTTTTTTTTTCGGAACCACCAAACGTGAAAGAAAAAAGCACCACAGGGAATTAATTAGCTGTCCTTAAGGTAAAGAATAGAGATGAGGCAAAGTATCGACAAATGTCAGGAAGAAATTTCAATTAACCTGGTTGGTCCTGATTACAGGTTGTAGCTGGTATGGCCAAACCAGTCTTAAGGTTCAACAGTACGAAAACAAACGTATGATTGTCCAAAAAGTTAAATGCTCTGGTAGAGGTAGCCTTACAACTATGTAGGCTCTGATGGAGGTTGCCATACACTTACACGTGTAGCCTTTAGTTGAAAATGGCTGACCGTATACTTAAATTTGTGGCCGTGAGTAAAAACCCTGTTGGAATGGGTTTTATTTGCCTCGAAAAACTCTGGATTCGTCTGGATCGAGGTCTGGATTCGAAATCCTGGAGTGAGTGAGGTGGTCTTTACTCTTCTCCTTAGGGCAGCTTTTCACGAATGGATGGTTGTAAAATCCGAAATCATCGGTGAAATTATGGCACTTTATGAAAACGCAACGCAACGTAAGGCAACTCAATGTACCAGAAATTCAATAATTGAGAATATGAAGGTCAAAATCTCTCAAAGGCGAAGACAAAATTTAACTTCTTCAGAGAGACTTTTTTTTCTCGGAACTACCAAACGTGAAAGAAAGAAGCAATACAGGGAATTGATTAGCTGTCTTAAAGGTAAAGAGCAGAGATGAGGCAAAGTATCGACAAATGTCAGAAAGAAATCGAAGAGAATTGCAGGTACCAAAAATCACACACAACAATATAATCTGAGAAAAATTACAACAGCTGACGACTAATGATAACAACAACAAGTGTTTAACTACTAGAACAATCATAATTTGAAGACTACGACATTCAATAAGCAATTCGTGTTGCAAAGCGTAAACGCTTACAAAGGAATCGATGATCCAAAAAACATTACTAATTGAAAGGTCAATTGACAAAAATTAACGACATTTCTGCCGTCAGCTGTCACACCAATCATAAGTGACATGACTTAAGTGTCACAATAAAATAGAGAGCAAAGAGAGCAATCCGGTGGAGTCAATGATGAAACCGGATGCAGAACTAAATCTGGTATTGAGTTCAGCAACCGAACAGAATAAGAGCAGCATCCGGTACACACTCCATGAACGGACCACTATTTGGAAAACCTAGCTCAAGAAATGTTGTGTTAGTGTGAACTAGTTAAAGGCAATTTTGGCACGTTACAATCTCCTGCTAACCAACAACCGATCTAGTTATAATCATGAATATATTCAGGGTCATTATGGAAGAACATCATTACACTGTTTGCACACGTATAACCGAACATCGTAACATACCGCAACTTTATGTTTCCTTGCTCTACTTGTTCCAAGTACTATTCCAACCCCTTATAACTCTCCCTTCATTTCCGATTCCGAGCCACATATATATCCGATTTAATTAAATTTCGGTAGAAAAATTCTTTTCTCCTTTCGCTTCGAAGATTTATCGTCCAAATTAACTTCCAACGGATCCGGCGCTGGGCTAAAATATTTCCGAAATATTTAAAATAAAGTCACCAAACCGAGCCCCAGGGAATTCTCATTTAAAATTTACCCGCTACAAGATATCGGAGTAGTTTTTTTTTTTTTTTAACTCCACGTCGACCCACTCTTTGTACTAAATCATTCAGACTGTCTGGCAGCGCACTTTGTACCTCTGCTCTGAACCAGATGTCAGGAGTTGGAGGGGCAAGTCGTATTTTTATCTTCCTTGGAAGCTTATTTTATACCAACGGAGTGTTCTTTGAAAAGAAAGGATTAGCTTTTAAATAGTTTTATAAAAAGAATAATTCATAATTAAAACCTAGTGATGAGAGCTAATGAGTTCGGAGCCGGTCTGCAGCAAGTGAAAAATTCAATGAATGAAAATTTGATTTCCTTGTGTCTGAAAGCTATGCAACCTTAGTATAGTTATAGACCTTACGCTTGGCAACCATATAGAATATAGGAGTCCTTCCATTTTATATTCTTTTTATGAATATAAATGTTTAAAAAATCATTCCAACTAAGTGGTTAGCGTTCCATATTTACTTCAGATTTCCATTCGCAATTTTTCCATCGAGAATCCACTTTGCATCTAGAAAATTTACTCGAAAACCGACTGTTTTCCGCTGTCTCCGCACTGATTTTTAAATTGCGACGCTCCATTCTGACGTTTTCGCATGACAATAGATACACGAAATGCACCACCGCATCACGGATCGTCTCACAAACAACCCCCTGGAATCGTTCAAGATAAAAGTCTGTGTGCGCTTTCGCGATATCTTACCATATAGTCATATAGCGAAGCTTCGTGAATGAAAAGAGGACTTTTTAACTTTATTTCCCCTTGGTTTAGTGTCTTTATTTAAACTGAAGCTTTAGGAAAATGTTCCAGGTTTCCGTATTTTAATAGGAATCGTATTTTATAAGGGATCTTCAGCGTAATTATGGGATTAAGTTGATAAGTTTGAATTTATTTTATATAATAGAAAATTTACGAAAATTACTTTTGCTACTATAAAAAACTAATATTTTAATTAGCAATCCTTCTGTGCATACTTTGTTTTCCTCATTTCATTATTTCATTAAAACATAATATTATTATTAAAACCAACAATAACACCCTAGTATTAATTTCCCTCATAATCCACCGTACATAATAAATTAAATCACAAAGACGTTCATTAAAAACCGAATCGATAATAAATATGACTATATAATCCAATTTTCCGAACAGTTTAGCGTGGGAGCCGACAAGGGCCCATAGGAAAATATTGCACCTGTTGTATCCAAAAGCAAGCCTATATTGATTGCTTTGCAAACAAGCTCTTCGTATTATGTCGTCTTTATTAAATTTTAAGCTCTATTGTTGGCATTGGATTCGAGCCTGTTGAATTTGGTAGAAGCGTCTTAAGCTAATTTGGTTACGTGGCAATATAATTAAACTTACATAGAACATTGATGTTAATGTGCTTAGTGTCAGGCTCTCCGACTCCATTATCGGCAGAGCACTGATACTGGCCAGCCGTGTGTCTATCAGCATGCTGAATGACCATTGTCAAGCCTTGAATGCTTCTTTCTCCACTTGGCATGACGTTATTTTTTCTAGTCCAAGATACTGAAGGAACAGGATTTCCGGAAGCGCGACATTCCATTTTGATCATTTGCCCCTGGTTGACCTCCACACTGCCCGAGTGAGAGACAAAATGTATTCTTGCTGGAACTGAAAATATATTTTTGTAATTATTATTAAAGCAAATTTTAATAATATTGTACGAACCTAAAACTTCTAAAGTGTGTACAATTTCCTTTGGTTCAATGGTACCCAGTTGACAAATGTAATCTCCAGCATCTTGAGGTCGTACATCTCTAAGTTCTAAGCTGTAGCCTCCGCCAGATAGTTCCGGTACTCCTCCAAGACTTGACGCTAATAATTAATTATTTTATTTAATATATTCAAAAAAACTTTAATTAAATCCTTACCGGGTTGTTCGATAGTGGGCGAAGGTAAAACTCGAAGTCGAGGATCCGGCGAAACTTTGACTGGTCCGGCAGTTAAAACTGCAATTCCGCGTTTCCAAGCCAGCACGTAGCTGCCTGCAAAACAAAGTGCCAGGAAAGTAATTATTTGTAAATGGATTTACGAAGGCTTTGTACTGTATACTTTGAAAGTTGTGACGAAAATAGGAACTAATGAAAGGTAGACGTTTCATGAAAAATAGATCAAAGAGTATACGATTTCAATTTGATCTGTACATTTTAAAGAAAATAAATCAGCAATTTGAGACTTTTGAAAGTAGGAGAATTCTTTATTTATCTACTGCGTATTATTTTAAATGTGATAAACGTTTCAATAAAGCGTTTGTGTAGTAAGAATATTAGATTTCAAGCTGTGGATGATTAATTCATGAACCCCTTTTTCCAATTTGATCAACATGGAACGCTACTGTCAGAAGAGCAGCCACTTTCAGGTAGTGTTTATGTGTTTCTATTGTATGGTGTTGCAAGCCACTTTGTTGATGTTCTTTTCGAGTTTCATCTTAGGTGAAGATGGAACTCGATGAGACAAAATTCCTCCCAAGCTGACTCATAAGAGACCACATAATATGGTAAAGCTGCCGGGCGTTGTTGGCCAAACTGAGAAAACAGAATCCAACTTCTGGAATCTCTTTTTAAGTAAAAAGTGATTGTTGAGTACACGAATAAATACATAGAAATTGTAAAACCGAAATTCATCAGATAGTTCAATTTTTTTTATCAATGATTTAGTACATGTATCTCTGTGATACAGCGCGACTAATGATGTTATAGAAACTCCCCTCCATTAGGCGCGCGTGTAATCTGATCATTTGGAAGGTGTTTTATCTCTTCTTTTTTCACAATCAATGAACTATATACTACACGTAACAGGAATGTAAATTGATGAAAAGTTTTCTTGCCTCGACTAGGATTTGAACCCAGGACCCTCGCATATCCAGTGCAAAGCTCTACCAACTGAGCTACCGAGACCTGTTTCATTTCTACCTTGTTGATCAAGTCTTTCATCAATTTTCAGTTGTTAATTGTTCAATTGAAACTTCTAAGAAATTGTAAAATTATTGGCTTGATATTGATGGTTGGGCATCCTATCCGGATGCCTGCTTATGTCGCAGCTTATCGACGACGCATCCGTGGTAGAAGGGATAATGGATTCCAAACAACCATGATTTGTGAATGTGTTCCCCTTATACCTTCTAACTCCCTCGCATACCAAAAGCAACCGCAGAAGGTTGCCGTTGGTCTTCACTACTAACAATTTAAAATTGATGAAAGACTTGACCGACAAGGTAGAAATGAAACAAGTCTCGGTAGCTCAGTTGGTAGAGCGGTGCAATGGATATGGAGATTACTCAAAAACATGAGGAAAACACAAACTAAGGATATTATCAATACTATAACACCCCAGAAATGGGAAGAGTACTTTGAAGAATTACTGACAGAACAGCGAACAGAGTTTAAAGAAGAAAGGGAACAGACACGAAACATAAAAACTGCAGGATCGCCTAAAAGAGTTATGCAAGAAGAAGTTAAAAAACACTGTAGCTTCTTGAAAAACGGTAGAGCACCAGGCCCAGGAGAACTGATAAAGTATGGGACCAATAAACTCTACAAACATTTAACAAAACTATTTCAAACATGCATAGATAAACATGAAGTACCGGAAGAGTGGAAAATAAGCTATTTAACAACGATATATAAAAAAGGAGATAGAAACAAATGCGAGAACCACCGAGGAATTGCAGTAACAAACACACTTAGCAGAATGTATGGAAAACTCATAAAAGCCAGAATAGAGAACGAGTTCAAAGATAGCGAGGCAGAAGAACAGGCCGGTTTTAGAGCAGGAAAATCAACTGTAGACCATTTATTTAGTTTGACCCAGGTAATAGAAAAGAAACTAGCGTATAACCAAGAACTCCATTTACTCTTTGTAGATCTAAAGAAAGCATATGACAATGTTCCGCTGAAAAAGCTCTGGGAAGCACTGGAAAAAACCAATATCAATTTAGAACTAATAAAGGCAGTAAAAAGCCTCTATAGTGATGCAAAGACCAAGATTAAACAGGGAAACATGATCAGTAAAGGCTTTATAGCAACTAAAGGACTTAAACAGGGATGCTGCATATCACCAACGCTTTTTAAAATATACTTAGAGCAAGCGCTTAAGGGGTGGAAAAACAAATGCAGACACATGGGAATACCGCTCAATGAATACAATTTATATACTTTAAGCTTTGCAAATGATCAAGTAGTAATTGCACAGGACTATGATGACCTAGAGTACATGACACGAAAACTGATAGAGGAATACGAGAAATGGGGTTTGGAATTAAATCTAACTAAAACAGAATATATGACTATAGGAGGTGAACAGCAAACTCTGAAATTGAATAACGGACAAGAAATAAAACAATGTACTGAATTCAAATATTTGGGCATGAAAATATCACGTGAGGGAATCCTAGACGAAGCAATTAAAGACCGGAATATACAGGGACGCAAAGCAATATCCCTACTAAATGGTGTACTGTGGGACCAAAATATCAACAAAGCTAACAAAACTAGACTATACAACACCATAGTCAAAAGCATTCACATATAGCTCAGAAGTCTGGCCACTAAAGAACAGAACCGCAAAAATGCTGGAAGCAACTGAAATGGACTTTTGGAGGAGATCCGCAGGCAGGTCAAAGATGGAAAGGATAACAAATCTGAGAATAAGGGAGATTATGGACGTAAAACACACAATAGATGATATAAAGGACAAACAGCTAATTTGGTTCGGACATGTACAAAGAATGGCAGATACAAGGATACCCAAGCAAATTATTGAGTGGAAGCCAGGGGGAAGAAGAAGACGCGGCAGACCGAGAAGAAGCTGGAGAAGTGGAGTAAACGAAGAAATGAGAGACAGAGGCTTAGAAGAGGATGCCTGGATTGACAGAGATGGTTGGAGATCGGAAATCGGAAGACGTAGAACGTTATAAACCGATAATTATATATAGTCTGGTGGAAAAAGGGGAAACAGCACACAATCAAGCTCAACGGACTGAGAAGGCCGGCCTGTTTGGCTTTCAGCACTACGTCAACAGCAGCCATGGAGCTTCTGCTAGGAATTCCTCCTTTACACTGTATGTGGGTGCAGTATGAGCATATCCTACTAAAAGCAGATATATTTCTGTTCACGATTAGATCGAAGATAGACAGTGAGTAGGGAGCAGTCGTTTACATTGGAAACTATTGGCTTAAACACCACATGCACAGGATTGGACTGGCAGATGAGGCTGAGTACAGACTATGCATAGAGGACGAGGAGACAGTTCCACATATTATTTGCGAACGTCTGACAAGAAGCACACTGAGGCATCGTATCTTAGGCGGGGAGGGACGGACTGGTCTCTGAACTTAGGGCAGGGGATTTCCTACATGGGGCGCCATCACCAAGGAAAAGTTGAAGTAGGTATATGGTCACTTGAGCCTGCGAACTTTTTCGATACCATGGGGAAATCGACGGATTTTGCTGGTTTTGTACTGGTTTTATGCTGGATTAGCTGGTTTTGTGCTAGTTTTCACTGGTTTTGGGCTGATTTTCACTGGTTTTATGTTGGTTTAGCTGGTTTTGTGAAATTCAGCCCAAAACCTGCTATACCAGCAAACAGTGAAAACTAGCAAAATCCAGCAAAAAAACAGCTAAACCAGCCTAAAACCAGTGAAAACCAGCACAAAACCATCAATATCCGCCGATTTTCCCACGGTATCGAAAAACTTCCCAGGCTCAAGTGACCCTATACCTAATAGTTGAAAGTTAGGATAATCATATGTTATGGACAAGAATGAATTACCACACCGTTATTTGTTTCCCAAGAAAAAAAATCAACATTTTATCGAGGGTTTCGCTAGTCTTAGCTACATTATTGATAATTTCGTTATTGTCTAAGGACATGAGTAAATTTTTTTCCATAGGCATTATCATGAACACTTCCAGGTTGTTGTGATTTAGGTTACTTCGTAATTGATTCAAATATACTTGAGCTTCTGGAACTTCGATCACAACAAATTTGCGGAACTGATAGACGACAAATATTTGTAAGCTTTCGGAGCTATTGGATAAGCATATGCGTGAAGGTTGACACGGTCTAAGTGTACGTGGATCAAGTACCCCTGGATGCTGTGCGCGCCTCACTTGGACGATATTTGGATGGTACCAACTGTTCGTCCAAGAAGGGCGCGGAGGTCCTACTAGGAACAACATCTCTCCAAACACTATTTTGGACTTCTTTGGAAAAACAGGCATGAAAATAGGCATGAGTCACAATAGACCAATGAGTCACAGTGGAAGGCCGTAATAGGCCCTCTCTTTTTCGACCTAACCTAACCTAAGTAGGTACATAAGAAAAATACTGTAATATTTCCGGAGACAGCTATGAAATAGTCATGACGGACATTTTAGGTTTTCCATCCCGAAATGTTGCCATTGGGAAGATGGAGGAAATCGTCTCTCGAACATTTCGCAGTATGAAATCGTGATTTTTCGTTACGTTTCCAGACTTATTACAGAATGCACGCAACAAGCCGAAATAAAATAAATTACTAGCTCTTGGAAATAATCCTAAAGAGTTACTTATTGTTGCGCAAGCATAATAATATCCTTCATACAGATCTGATTCCATCGAAACTTAAACAAGAAATACTGTGTCTGATGAAATCAGTCATCTTAACAATTTTCCTTCATTTAAAGCATATATTACTTTTCAGCTTAAATTTAAAATTCCAAGAAGGTACCATTAAAGAAAATTTAATAAAAATTCCATAATTGAGATGTTTACCTGGCTGGGTAATCCGACAAGGCAAAATGACGGTAGCTCCCGAAGCGATCCGATATGTTTGACCCGGTGTAACAAAAGCAGGCGGCTTCCCTTGGGGTATATCGTATTCATTAACTTGAGGCTCGGCATATGTTCCTGGAAAAAAAAAATCTTTGTTAGCAGGACAATGGCTACCCTTTGGCCATACTGTGAACCTTTTCCAGGTTTCACTATATTAACATTTTTAAATTATTTCGTCTAAAAACGAAAGGTCAAGGATTTTATGTAACAATCCGGACACTTATTCGAGTCGATACAATAATTCACAGACCGTATCCATCATCAAGCTTTAACATGCTAGTGATAGCACACACGGACACGTTACATCACGCAGAATGTAAGCTGTCATTTCGATATGAAACAATGCCCATGCAGAGACAATAAATCTGGTTGAATAATGACCCCAGCACTCGATATCCGGACATAATTCTTGTCAATTATTGTGGGCGGGCTAATATTATCGGAATTATCTTTTCATTCGGCCCGGCCTCAACTATATGAACTGTCTGACAAATTTGGTATATAAATTTCGTTGCGGAATGCGGTGTGAAAATGAAGTTTTCGGCTACGCTAATGGAGTTTGGAGCGTTTAATGGCTAATAATGCAACGCAACAGGAAAATGAAAAGTGACACACGGACACTCGTCAATAGATCTATTGAATAAAAACTGGATAGAAATTAAAGGTCGGTTTCCCAAATTGCAAATTTTGACCTGACAAATTATTGGAATACCTTTGTAATCTAGCAAAAAGGTTTTAATTTTCCGCAGCGCGAGTCGCGATAAAATTTAAATTACTTTTTTAATGCAGGCGGTGCCTACTACTGAACAAAAGGATTTGTATATAGATAAATAAATTAACTCCGCTAGACAAAAAAGATGCTGTCTGCAATCAGTTGAAGTAAGACAAAGCCACTTTATCCAGAAATATATATTCTTTGCTGCTGTAGATAAACTACATCGCTACTCCCTCTTGCTTTTAACTATTTATGGTAAAATGAATGTTGGGCATAAAATTGGATTCGGCTTTTTTTTTTTGGTGGAAGGCAATAATATATAGTGCAGAGACTTGTGACAGCCTGTAGAAAATATATACCTTGCGAAAGTAAAGTCCGGACTTATCTTGACAAATCTATTTCTTATTTTTGCTACTTGTTGAGATTTTATGCGTAAAACAATTACAATGATTCAAGAGTGAAAGCCAAATAAGTCATGTCTAAAAGTAGACAGCTAAAATATACAAAAGATAACTGATTTTGTCAAGGTAAGTCCGGACTTCCTGTGTAGGTTCACCCTTGTGTGTTTAGGCTTCAACCTTTATTAAAAAATATTTTCTTCGTATAGTTGTTTGCACAACCAAAATGAAAAATAAGGCAAAAATCAACAAAAGATGTTTACGATAAAATTTTTGCATAAAAACTGTTTATACACATATAATATTAATCAATACAGTACAACTTTTTTGATTGAAAAATAAAGCAGTGGATATTTGCGAAAACAGGGAGAAAAGAAGCATTATTTGAATACCTCAGGGTGAAAGTTGTGGTTTCGAGCAAAAAATTATATTTTAGGAAACAAGCAGGATTTTTCATGAGAATAATTTTCTCTCTAGGGTGTTTTAATTTGATTTTTCGATGCGTGGTAGCTGTAGATTTTGGTGCATAAAATTTGAGACCATCGCTCTAGAAAGCAGTAAACATTCCATACCTACTGTCAATGCTGCTAGGACTGAAATCGGCTGTCCACGTAAAGTGCCATAAGTTTTTGACTTGTCAACTTTCTGCTAATGAAAAACTGGCGGGAGGCGCGCTTCATTGCTGCGTACCCTCTGAGAGCCCTTGCGCCTGCATCCTGACCAGGAACGTGCAATGCTATCTAGTTTCTGCACCAAGGACCTGGCAGTTATCAAAGTTTCGCTGGGAAAGGAAGGAGTCAGAGAGGATCTTGTAGTCTGAACTTCCTACTTTCCTATCGATATCGAATCTCCCCCTCCGGACGTCATTGCAGTCTCAAGGTACTGCGAAACTACGGGGCTCCCTCTGCTCATAGGCTGCGACTCTAACTCGCACCACGCCCTATGGAGCTTCAGAGACGAGAACCCTAGGGGACACTCTCTGGCTGGCTTCCTGAGCTCCAGCGGCTTGGAGGTCCTTAATCGGGGAAGCTCCACCTTTTACTGCAACCGTGGCCAATTTGTGATTGACCTAACCATCTGTTCACCAAATATTGTGATACTTTTTAAAGCATGGAGAGTGTCCTTGGAGGTCTCAATTTCGGACCACAGGCACATTCTCTTCGAGCTGAATAAAGACACCAGCTACGACAACCCAGTCTTAAGAAGCCCGAGGCACACCAAATGGGACCTCTTTCGGGAGGAGCTCACAGGTGGGCTCTCGGATATGCCGGCAAGGTATAACCTTCCAGCCGACATTGAGATTGGGATAAAACAACTGTCCAGCGCAACTCTCCGAACATACCAGGGTAGCTGTGCACTAAGACAGAAACCTCAAAATGAAAAAATGGCAGGTGGAACCACATTACAGAATTCCATCCGAACATCACGCGTCGGCTCTTGAGAAGGGCTGAACACTTCAAACTCGCCGCCGACTGGGAAGCGTTTCACGCAGCCCAAAGGCAGTACAAAAAGGCGCTCAGGGATTCCAAAAGACAGAGCTGGAGGCAGTACTGCGAGGTTGTTGAAAAAAATATCCCCAGCAGCTCGCCTCTGCAAGGCTCTGTCAAAGGAACCCGGTAGTAGAATAGGGTCACTGTCTCTTCCGGGCGGTGGCTTCACGACCAACGAACAGGAAACCCTGAAGGTCATGCTCTGCACGCACTTCCAGGGCTCCAGCTCAAACAACGCTATCTTGGCCGGCGTTCGGGCCCCAATTAGCACTGGGCACGACACCGCCAAAAAAGTAGTAGGTTATGACAGGGTGATATGGGCGATTAAGTCCTTTCCTCCCTTTAAATTACCTGGTAAGGATGGAATCCACCCTTGCCAGCTGCAACACGCGTCGGATATCATCACTGTCTACCTGGTAATGATCTTCAGATCTTGCCTGGCTCATGGATATATTCCAGAGCAGTGGAGAGAGGTGAAGGTCATCTTCATTCCGAAAACCGGACGGAGTGACTACTCCGACCCATTAGCCTCACTAATTTCCTGCCCAAGACTCTGGAGAGGCTACTGGACCGGTATCTGAAGGAAGGCATACTGGTTTCCAGACCTTTACACACTCAACAATATGCCTATTAGACTGGAAAATCCACAGAACTGGCCTTGCACCATCTGGTCAGGAAGGTGGAAGAAAATCTGGTGAGTGGAAAGGCCAGTCTGGCGGCATTCCTTGACATTGAAGGGGCATTTGATAATACCCCTTTCAACATCATCTGCGGAGCGCTCGTAGGGCGTGGCTTAGAGCCCTGTCTGGTGAGATGGATAGAGGCTATGCTCTCGCAACGCCGAGTATCCGCAGAGCTTAACAATGCGGTGGTTAGAGCGGTGGCCGCCAGAGGCTGTCCCCAGGCTGGAGTTTTATCCCCGACTCTGTGGTGCCTGGTGGTTGACAACCTGATTACTAACCTTAACAAGGCAGGCTTGTATACTCAGGCCTACACCGACGACCTGGTTATCCTTTGTCCGGGTAAGGACGCCGTCTCAATGCAGGGTCCTATGGCAAGGGCTCTGCGCATAGTGGACCGGTGGTGCCTTGCGCGATAAATCCTAATAAGGCGGAACTCCTGCTCTTCTCCAGGAGCCGCAACTTCGGCACACCGCCCAACATTTCTCTGGGATGTGTGACTCGTAAATAGTCCAGGGTGGTTAAGTATCTAGGCGTGATGCTGGATTCTTAACTGTCCTGGTATGAACACGCAGGGAACAGGATCAAAAAGGCTACCTGTGCCCTTTGGGCATGTAGACGGTCCTATGGTTGCACCTGGGGTCTTTCACCGGAGATCCTTTACTGGATGCATAACTCTATAGTTTAACCTCTCCTCACGTACGGAGCTATCGTTTGGTGGCCTTGCATGGAGAAAGCCAAGATACAGGCGCAACTGGACAGAGTCCAGCGCCTTTCCTACCTCAGCATAACACTAAAAATGCCAATCATCTTTGACATCTACTCAAAGTAAAGAGTCTGCACAAAAAGTTGTGTCAAGTATTCTTTTGTTGATAAATGAAATCATAATGAAGTCAAACGAAAATGGACACTTCTATTAAAAAACCCAATTTCAACGCGAAGTCAAATTAAAATTAAAATTTTTTAGATGTAAAAAGAGGCGCGCTAATCACCAAAACTTTAAAATATATTTTTATTATCAAAGCCTCAATTTAACGGTCAGTTAGAGCGTGATGAATTTCGAGTTCTTTTTTAACTAGAAAACGTGCAAAATAAAATTTATGTTGGTGTTTTATTTTTTAAATCAAAAACGTGCAGCAAACCTTTTTTAACCCTCTTGTGAAATATTTTATTTACGTAGACTTTCCCATCAAAGCGGCAATTTTAAATCTACTCACAGAAGCGTCTCAAATATAATTAGTAATCTGGAATTGCACACTCACCTATTAGGTAAGCCAGACTATAATAACGTGCACTTAATAGCAATATAGTTTCTAGCTAAGTAGGTAATTACCAATGTTTATTCAGTCGCTGGAAGCTAGGTAGTTATAGTTCTGGAATAAATTGATGCTGAACTATTGGGAATAACTTAGAGTTCTATATGCATGTGATTTCCTAGCAATTTCATTTACTACATAAATACGTTTTATCTGCTATGGGTAATAAAAATGCAGATTTCGGTGAAAATTGCCGATTTTCAAATATTCAACTGATAAAATCCAATGTTCGTTTTGAAGATAATTCTTGTTTTATTATGGTTTTTACTATGGGTATAAAAATTAAAATGTTTTAAGAAAATTTTTCTGTAATGATGATTGCGATGTTGTACATTGAGTATCAAGTTAAGTGAACTGGAGTATACTAAATGAGTGTGGCAGTTTTAAGGCTATGGTCATGGAATAGGAAAGTGTCCTGAGTTTGAAGCTAGTAAAGGTGCAACACCGGTTCTAGCGTAAAATCGGCCATTTTTACA